CCCTGTAAAGCCCCTTTATTATATGTATATACATTAGGGTGGAGTGATTTTAACAACTTTTTTCTTTTTAATTTTAAAAGTGACCAAAAGTTGTTACACGTGATCAATAACCATCAGTATTTTGCATTTTTAAAAATAATGTATTCTTCTGCCCTCTACCACCTCCTAAAAGGGGTGAAATTTTGTATTTTTTTTCTCCAATTTCTAATAGCAAATTATCTAATTTAGCTCAGGTAGTCCCTGTTATTTTGTTTTTTAAACAGATTATATTTTCTGTCCTCTACCGGCCCTTAAAGCCTAAGTTATCTAGTTGTCCGCTACCAATTATTAAAAGAAATTTAAACCAATAGATTTACTAACGGTAATTTTTTACATTATAATTATTTTTATTACTAGGTATAACAAAATGTGATTTATATTATTAATAGTAGCTCTTCGCTTGATTATTATTAAAACAAATAATAAACCCAGGACTTACCACGTGGAGGTGGCTGCTAAACGAGTTCCTCCTTATTCTTCCGCCCTTACGTAAAACTTTTATTGATTGAATTGATTTTTCGTATTAAATGAAGGCATTGATTCTCTTGATTGTAAAGTTACCCTAATGAATCCGTCTCTAGCTTGTAAACCAATCACTTTCGAAGAAGCTTCGGTGACCATTTTCACGCACCTTTCTACGGCTTGGGTGTGACATGGAAACGAGACAATATCTATCAGTCGGTTATTACTATCTTTACAAATAATTACATTGCTAATTTCGTCTGTGGTAAATTTCATAAGTATGGGTGGAGAAGTGATTACCGTAGATTGCCAATCAATTAGCATATAATATTCTCCAGCATCAAATTTCAATTTCGGAACTGAAAAACTTCTAATATTGCCTTTAATATTATTATTTTCTGCTAATCGAGCCCTTACTATACGCCTTAGCCCTAATTCTTTTACATGAGGCGGCTCATCTGCCAACATACATAAAAGAAGGTTTTCGGGATGAAGAAAATAGGAATTTCTTTGTAAATATTACAGGATCAACGACATTTCTAAGCTCTGTTCTTAAGTAGCGACTTCTTTAAATAATATTCCACACATTTTTAGCACCATTTTTACTAGATGGGTTAAACTTTATCTGAAACCACATTGGAGCGTAAACTTTTTGAATAAACTCTGTTAGGTCTATTAGATTTGTGCTGGGAGCTTTAGTCGAAAAATTCTATTTGCTACAGTCAGCCATCTGGAATGTGCTAGTTTGCCAGGATCTAATCGAGACAAATCTACGGAACATGCCCCATTTGATATTGCGAAGCACATCTGGTACAAGTATTTTTGATCTGTACTTAATGCAGAAAAATCTATATCAACGAAGTCGCAAAAAATCGGGTTGAAAGCTACTACTGGAAGATTTTGACAACTTTCAATTTGCTTACCAATTGGTTCAGAATATCCCTGGGGACCTGACGTTCCACCATCAAGAAAGGTAAACAAATGTCGTAAAGGCAACTCATTACTGTGTAACTGGTAAATTATCCACTGTAAAGAACGCTGTAATCTAACTTCAATTTGGGATTTTACTCCATTTTTTTAGCCTGTGTTCACAACTGTTCCGTTACAACCAATCGCACATAAGTCTTCTAAATTGTAATGATTATCCTGAAAAAAATGGAAAATTGCGTCAGTTATACTTTTTACAGAACCAGATAATGGTGTAGTATGTCCCATATAAAGCCATCCAGGCTATTCTATTAGAGATATATGTTCTTCCATTATAGTCTTTCGGTGCTGTTTGTTTTCAATGGTTATTTGCGTCAAAGTTAAATCTTTTCTTCCATCGAAATATATACTTCGTATTGATTTTTGTTGATCGTTTTTCTGCAGACTTATTCTTTTCTTTGTTCGGGCTATTGACTTCTGTCAATAACACTAGTTTTGTGACTTTCTGAAACCAGGCCAACGTCTTGTAAAACAGCTGAGGTAATTGCCGCTGCAGCTGAGGTAATTGCCGCCGCTGCTCTGTCAGATAAACCGTACCTATCACATACTTTTGCCACCGTGTATAAATTAACTTATAAACTCTTATTACGTACTTTAAAAATTCCCTTTGCCCACCACAAAAGATGTGCCTAAACAAAACTCCCTGGAATTTTTTTTATTTATATGTTAACTTTGTCCCCCTTATTACGAAATTCTTTACCTGCCCTTACGAACCCCTATCCACGCGTATAAATTAAATTATAAACTCTTAGTAAAATACGCAAATTTTAAAAATTCCCCGTGCCCACCCCAAAATATGTGCCTAAACAAAACCCCCTGGAATTGTTTTATCTATATGTTAACTCTGGTCCCCTTATCACGTAATTTTTTGCCTGCCCTTGCAAACCGCCATCAACACATACAATATAGAACTGTAGACTCCCAGACAGCAATATGACGTCTTAATTAAGTCTGCATAAGCTCTATTTTATGATTTGGACGTCAAATACAACATCAGAAAGAAGTTTTTAAGCGCCACCTATTGAACTAATCAAGACTTCTCAAAAAAGAACTCTTGAGGAACCCTTTTCTTTGACTTCGCAATTAAGCATTTTAAAGAGTCCTACTGAATAAACTTATAAAAAGATTTCTTTAAAATTTTCGTTTTGGATATAGAAGTACTACTAGGGTACTGATGAAGAAATTGCATACTGGATCGTTGCTTATTTTGACATGTCAAGTTTATTTTATTAATTTTATTAATTTGTTAAATTGATTTTATTAAAATCATTTTAATAATTTGCTCGTATTCGCTTATTTTAGGAATTGCAATTACTTCGTCTCACTTTTGTTTAAATGCATTCGTGCAGGTGCAAAAATCCTCGTCTTCGACTCGGATTTTTGTTGCCCCAGCAATCATGCTTCTTGTTAAAATATTACTTAGCAACGTGTTTTTTCGATTTGTTTCGGAAAAATTAGATGCCCTTATGATATTATATTATATTATATTATGATAGTATTTTCGTAAGTATATATACTTACGAAAATACGTCTTTCTTAAGCAGACTTTGGAGAAACACTTGGCAGGTATTCTCAAGGACTGGGCTTTTAACATAAAGCGAGCTAATGGCACCAATTATAAGGAGAAAGTTACTTAAAGATTTTAATAAGAAAGTAGACCCATTTAAAAGCATAGTTTTTGAGGATGCCAGAAAGGAAACGTGCTGCCAAAAGAATGCTGAAGAAATAAATCCAGTTTTGCAGCTCTGACAACTAAAGACAAAATTGAGTAAAACTTTGAAGAAGACGGCTACCAGATTTCTGCCGTCGAGCTCGCAGGACAAAGCAACCTTTTGCCTTTTTTTAAGAACAAACTCGAAATTTTTGGTGAAGTAACAATTCCTATTCTCCAAAACTACACAGGGCAAAAAACATACCCCTGCTTATAATTGGTTAACATCGAACAAAGAATGTCCAGACAAGTGTTCAGTGCGTCTACTTCAGCAAAACACGTCAAATATTAAAACGAATCGATTGCTTTTGACTCCAAACCCGAATTGGAAGAAGACAAGAATTTGGTATAAAAATTGTTCAATATTGGACATATATATGTATGTTTTAACTAACTTAGTAAATGGATACGTCTAGGCGCGCAGAATATTGGGATTAATATCAAGATGATACTGAAATCGTTCTTACGCATTAAGCAATTAAATAAAATCTAGAGCCAACTTACAAAAAGTTATTTAAATTTCTGGTCATTCTTTAACTGAGAAGCTAAGCAACGAACATCACCTTAACATTGAAAAAATGAGAAAAAGAACCCTGCCAAGTTTATAGATATATAACATGTTTAAAATATTACTTACAATAATTGTACGTTTAATATTAATACAAAATAAATGATAAGTACCTATAATAATTTATTATTATCTGTCTATTCATTACATAAACGTAACGAATACCACTCGAGCAATCGAAAATAATCATAATCTTTAAAATACCATTTAAGCTAATCTTTCGTGATTTTTTGCAGATAACGTCTCATTACTCGTAAAATAATCTATTGTGTTCGATGTTCTTAATATTTTAACTGAATAAATGACGCTTAAGCTATAAATTAAAACCCATTTTTTATTGAAAAATTTATACGGCTAATAAAAATTTACATAAAATATAAATTTTGCATTTAATTCGGTCTGAAATATAAATTAAAAAATCACAAAATATTTAAAGGTGCAAAATTAAATATTAAATTACTATCTTTAAAAGATTAAATTATAAATATGTTTATTAGACTCGTTCAAAAAAGTCGAATATTTTTTTTCTTCAAAGCCCGCATTAAAATATCTTCCTAGTAGTAAAAAAAGAAGCCTGTGAAAATTGTAGCTCTTAATATTAATATTTAGAGGTCGCTCATCGTGAATTTCTATTTTACGTTTAAATAACACAGGAATTCTTTTTTTTAACTTTGAAATTTTATAACACGTTTTTGAGTGAACGTATTGGAATGAACTCTATATATTTCTGAAGAAAATTGAACGTTCTACAAAAAATGTCTCTTATAATTTTTTCGTAAATTCACTCTTTTAATAGTTATTCAAGGTTGAAATTATTCCAATATGTCCACTCAAAAAAAAAGTTATAAAATTAAAAGTTAAAAAAAATTCCTGTGTTATTTAAACGTTACATTTATTATATGCCTAATTTCAACCTTGAATAACTATTAAAGGAGTGAATTTACGAAAAAATTATAAGAGACATTTTTTGTAGAACGTTTAATTTTCTTCAAAAATATATAGAGTTCATTCCAATATGTTCACTCAAAAACGAGTTAAGAAAAAAGAATTCCTGTGTTATTTAAACGTAAAATAGAAATTCACGATGAGCGACCTCTAAATATTAATATTAAGAGCTACAATTTTCACAGGCTTCTTTTTTCACTACTAGGAAGATATTTCAATGCGGGCTTTGAAGAAAAAAAAAATTCGATTTTTTTGAACCAGTCTAATGTTTATATTGGGTAAATCATACTAAAACGGACTATAAGTAAATATTTATAACACCACAAATTTACATTTTTAAAATTTTACAACCAAAACCAATAATTTCAATAATTATATTGGTCACAACTGTCAAAATCGCAACCCGTAATTTTCTGTTGGCAACAATTTCTACAATTACAACAAGGTTGTTCGTCATTTTCAATCACCCGGCACCATTCTCCCTTTTTGTTCTTCTTCCATTTGGTTTTGATTTTGGTTTTTTGAGATCTGGAGTACCTCGACATGCAGCTACATTTATTTGGGTCATTCTGTGTAGCAGTAGATTGCACAAAATTATTGTCGGTATTTTCGTTAAAACACTCTTCCCAGTCGCCACGATCCGAAGCACAAATACAAGTCGGCTTCTTAAAGGTTTTGGGACATGTTTTTGTTTTTTGCTTGCGTTTCTTAAACTCGCACAAGTTTTCCAGGATTGGTTCGTCGCTTTCGCTTATTTCATCGTGATTAAGGATTGGTTTTTCCAGTGGTTTGTTTTGTTTGCTGCGATTTTCAAACTCCAGCATCGTCCTGCGGACTCTATTGCGATTTCTTTTAACCAGTTTTTCTTCCAGTTCTTCTATAAGGTCTATGTAATCATCGTTGTTTTGATACGGGAGGTTGTAGAGTTCTGGATCGTAGGAATCATCCGATTCTTCGTCGCTGCCTTGCGTTTGCCGGTTTCTGCAGCATTCTCCGCAGCTGCACTGGTAGTCTGATGCGTTTAAATCCACGGTTTGAACGCACTTGCAGCTGGTCCCGCAATCGTATCGAGGCGAAAAAGACACCGATTTTCTTGGACTACAACACGCGCAATACGTCGAACAAGATTGCTTTTGTTTCGGTGGCACGCGACACAAGTTTCGACATGTCGGGACGCGTTTGGGCGACGAGCAACATTTGCAACTACACGGCAGAGGTGGTGGAGGTGGACAATTTAATCGTGATGGTTTCTTTGTCGGGTTCGTTTCGCAACATTGACAGCTGCACAATATGACATTGTCTCTTTCTTTTGATTTTTTCCTGTACGACTTCATGTAGTTTGCTTTCATTTGTCTACAATAATTTATGAATTTGATTTTCTCATTTCGTATTATCTCATTGAAAATTTGATCGTCCTTGCAACTCGTTTCTTCTGTCAAATTTTTAAATAAGATGTCGTCATCGTTTTTTTTCTCTTCCTGCTTCTTGCTACAATCTTTGCATAATTCATTATCGCATGGAAAATGGCATTCGCACTGCATTGATGCATTCTTTGTTTGTTCTTTTTTTAAATCCCATTTTTCGACTATTGCTTCTTTTTCTTTACATTTTACTTTTTCTTTGTTGTTTTTTTCAAATAATGGTTCTTTGGCTTGTACTTTTTCACCACACGGTTTTTCAATCAACGGTTCTCTTTGAACAAACTTCTTTTCCTAAAAATAAAGTATATTTTTTGGTTATTTTCTCAAACTATTTAAACTTTTACTTCATCTTTTGGTTTCTCTATTGTTTTGGTTGCCCAGCAACCGTTATTCTTAGCTTCCACTTCGTCCATGTCTTTATCTAAATCGTCGTGATGTATTGAAGATTTAAAATCTTCATCCAAGTTTGCTTTTATAACCGCGCAGGTTTTGTGAGGTTTTGAATTCAAATCGTTGTAATTTATTGTAGATTTAAATTCTTCATCCAAGTTTACTTTTGCACATGCGCAGTTTTTGTGAGGTTTTAAATTTAAATCAGTTGGTGCTTCAAGATTCTTATTTTGTTTTTTCTGGTCGCTTCTGATTTTCTTTTCGAACAACTCAATGTACAAATTGTCACTTAATACGCTATCACTACTTACATCATTACAAAATTTCATTTTATTGTCATTTCTAGGAAATAAATAAAATAATTGAACAATGCATAATGCATTTATAAACCTTACCGGTAACATTAATTTTAAAAACACCCTATAAATCAATAATTTTAAAAATCTTCTTCACTACTGGACTCTAAAGAATGAGCTTTTGAAATAAGTGGGATGGAATCTGCCTTGGAATAGTCAAAAGACGCCAACTCGGTACTTCTCGCTTCTATCGGTTGCTCTTGACTTTTTCCACCCTAAAATTAAAAAAAAAATATTAAAATAAATGTATTAACTACATTATTCAATGTTTATTTGTGGTTTGGCAGGTGTCTGCTTTCTGACGGTTGATTAAATTATTTAAAGTTTTAACAATAGTATAGATACCAATGCAATAATATTAAATATTCATAAAACCTTACACTTTTTAAATATATAAATCGGTGGTTTTTAACAAGATTTAAATACCACTGGTATTTAAATGTTGTTAAAAATCACCCATATCAACCATATCAACTACTGAAAAATTAAGTAAATTGGGGACAGTTGTCCATTAACAATTAATTTTTAACTTAAACACAATTAGTACAAAATTATTAAAATAATATTTTATATTATAAATTATGATAATAAGAATTTAATTTAAATATCAAATCCCTAGTTGAATATATGCAACCCATAATACACTTATACACATCGTCGTTAATTTCACAGTGTCGTATCTCAATTCGTCGTTAATTTTACAAAGTGTCGTATCTGGATCTTATATACAAATTAAACCTCCGTCCTAAAAAATAATAAAAAATGAGATACGACACTTACATATACAAATTAAACCTACGCCTGAAAAATAATGAAAAATGGGATACGACACTTTGTAAAATTAACGACGATGTAATCAATCGACGTAAGGCAACCCAAACCCTAGGACCAAAACTAACTTAGTTTTTTTATTAGCTTGGCTACAATTAACGCATTAAATGCAATTTTTTTTGTTTTGATTTTTTTTTACAAATTTGGTATCTTGTTCAATTTTAAAACTTGATGACAGCCATAAAAATTGGTAAGATTATTTTGAAGTGGCCTAGAATTTCAAGAAAAAGCAAACAAAACATTCACAAAGCTTTCCATACAATTCTAGAAGAAAATGGGCAAAACATCAAGGAGCGTATACGCTATAGTTATTTATATCAAGGAAAACATTAATTTAACAGATGACCTAACCTCAAATTCAAAGACACTTGGATCTAACACATAGACAAGGGATTGATTGGATGGGTAGGGGATATCTAACTCCACGGAAAATTAAAGAATGAGCGGGCAAAAGTAACTAGGCAACCATAATCTAGTTTGGACTACCGTACGTGAATTATATTACCTATTAATTAAATAATAATAAAATTAATATTATTATGTGAAGAATGTGTACATACTTTGAATATATTTTGTAATACCTTAACTTTGGAAATTAATTCTTTCAACCATGATTCTCTGACTGACTTTATTTCGACTCCAGGTTTTGGTAACTTTTTATAGTAATCATTGACCATCTTTTTCTGCGATTCTTGTCTTTCAGACCCAAATGAAGCATTAAATCCATGCAAAGAAGTCACCTGGTGTCTTTTTCTAATTTGAATCTCCCTAGCTAACATTGAATCTATTTCACTTGACGTGGTCGATTCACTTTTTTGTGCATTTGAGGGTTGAGTTTCCGATTCAACTTTGTATTTAACGTTAAAGTTTATTTTTGAAATTGTTGTTAAATCGGATTCAGTTACGGAAATGTTATCAGACTGCATAGTGCTGCTCGATTCTACAATTAAGTTATTAAATAAACATGCATAACTTGGTCACTTTGAATTTTTCTCCAAAAATATTAAAAATGATTTTTTGTTTTAAAATATTAAAAGTGACCATTTTGTGATGTAATTAAACTTGCTTGAAGGCGATAAAAATGTTTGACTAATACTTTCAAGTTGATCTTCCGTAGGTTGTGAAGATAATTCTTCCAAAGTGGAGAACGTGGAAGCTAATTCAAACTGTTCAGTTTCTGGAAGAGTTATACTATATAACCTTGTCTTCAGTTCTTTTGGTGTATACAGGTAGTCTAAATCGTCTGAGGTGGAGTCATCGGTTGCATCAAGAAGATGCTTGCTTTCAATTTTTCGTTGGGACGTTAAAGATCGTTTTTTTATGCTCTGTTTGGATGCTGGTATGGGCTGAATTTTCTTGGGATTTACATCAATTTCTATAGTTTTACTGCCTTTGGCTGACAATGTTTTTTTATGCCGTATACTACTCTGCCTTGATAATATTGGTAAAAGTTCCACAGTTGAAACTACTTCAATTTTCCTTGGATAATTTTTTTCTGGATAAATATCACCTCTAATTAAATCTCCATCTTCAATAGAGCTGTCACTGGAAATGGGATAATCTCTGAAAGCTTCCATTGATGCATAGTCCGGTATGTTCTGCCTTTCTAAATCTTTAAAACTGGTCTTAAGCGATTGCTGTATTTGGTTTACATCTTTAGTGTATTGATAGGAAAATGAGGGTTCTGAGCTTGAACTGTGATAATCCGAATCGTCATCAAGCTTCTTTTTACCCTGGATATTGTTAAGTTTTCTTTTTTGTCGGTTTTCCTCATCAGAAGAGTCTCTTTCTTCGCTCAGATCTGATAGGTCCCCATATTCTATAGGTGATAAACAAACCGTGCACAATTTTTTTATATCTATAAAGCAGGGTTCGCAATATATCCCAGGACAACCTGGTGTGGCACATTTGTAGTATTTAATTTCATCCGTGTCCCTGATAACAAGACCGCACACAAGGCATGCTTTCTGAACCTCATCTCCAACACAAAATCCCAAGCATCTAGAACGGTAAACGTTTTACATAATTTTGTATTAAAAAAAAATAATTTAAAAAGTTAAAAAAATATGTTTTACCTAAATTTTGATAGCAAGAATTCCTTTAGCGTTATCTTGGTAACAGTTTTATCCCCTAGTACTTTTCTTCTCAATTGTCTTCTAACAAACTTCAAAAAAGTAGATCTGGTTCTTAAAATATGGTTGTAAAGCCATATGGCTCTTTCTTTACCACGCACAGGGTGATAGTAGCACATAATCCAGTGTCTAAATCTTAACCCATAAGGTTCAAGAACCGTCAAAATCCAACATAGCAACAATAAGGTAATTATTTGTATGTAACGATCATAATCGGGTGGTATAGGGATGGGTAAGCATGGCACTGTATCTATTTCAAGCTCCAATCCCAAGGGTTGAAAAGCTTTTACAATTGTTTTAAGAAGATCCGCTAAAAGACCTTCCCCGGCTACTATAACTGTTGGCATATTAGGAGCTAAAATTATGATTATTAATAATGATAATATTGAAAAATCACAATGTTAACCTCTGACTTTGCTTTGGAATTTGCCATAGTAATTTATTTTGTTTAGAACCCAATACAGCGAATAATCTGCCATCATATGGGTAGCAAGTTTAAGGCTAGCACTGGCTAATGTGATTGCGTTTTGTGTGAGTTTTTGCTTTTCTGAATGTACTAATCTTCTTGAGGTAGCCTGTTTTAATATTTGTTATATTGGATAAAAAAATAACGAATTTAAATACAATTTTCCAGTAAAATTATTTTTTTCCTTAATTTTTAAATTGTCTTAGTTCACATAGATAATACTTGTAGAAAAAAACGCAAAAAGAGGTGAAATCGTAACTTCCTGGTGACCAATTATCTTCTTAATAGCGCCATTTTAAAACACATTAAAAAAATCTATTTGAACCAATATTGAAAAATTTAACAATTTAAGAAATAAATCGAAGATAATTTTATTTATTATTTTAAATTTACCCGTATATATTTATTCTCTTCTCTAGAGTTTAGGGGCAGTAATGTTTCTCTTCCTAATTTTGCTCTTCTCATATCAATATCAACGAAATCTTTGGTAATGTATTTGTTATCAAACCTGGCACTGGTTAAAAATTTAACACGGTAATGTATCACTCTAAAATAATAGTTATAAATAGCAAAATAACAGAGGTCTACAAAACAAATTGTTAAAATCTTTTGATGCGCTGAATTCGAATTCGACCCCAATTTGGGCTTTTGAAATTTTTTTATTTTATCGTAAATGGTAAGATCATACATACGTATTATAAAACTATTATTATAATTATTTCGTTCGTTATAATTAAAAAGTTATATTTAACAAAAATAAATTAAATTAAATATTTGGGGACTCGGCTGTACAAATTTTTGGCCAATACCTAAGAATTATTAAATTTTAAAATAGATTTATCGGCTTTTGCATGTTTGCTCCATAATTAATTATATTAATTATTATTATTAATTAAAAACCTTTTGTTTCTTTCTTTAACAGTAAAAATATTCTGAAACCATTATTTTTGTGCATAAATTTTAAAATGTGTCGTGAAATAAAATTGGGAATAAATAATCCCTTTGGAACGCTTCTGATTAATTTGATCCTAAAGCTAAATTTTCATGTATCCGTTTGTTCGTTTATACACTGAAAGAAAAGTTTATTTACAATTAATTATGTTGTTTAACAATAAAGGATTTATTCGATAATGGCGGAATACATATTTATTTTTAAAAAACAAATAATTTATTAGTATAACTTTAATACACTTTTTTGTGGTAAATAAAAATTTATTTATTATACAGGGTGTCCCAGAACTCGCGCCACAGAGAAAAAGGGATCGTACCGAAAGTAATTTGAAACACATATTTAAAAATTAAAATTGTCCAACGCAAAGGATAAGGGAGATAAGAATAAAAAACGATAGCCAATCCCAATAGATCACCACAGGGAATTCTTTAAATTGCTAGGATACTTAGGTTGCATTGTTGATAATAAAAAATATGTAAAATATTTGGTCCACTGGAATCCAATTCATTGTAACACTGCTGTCAATCTTTACTTCTGTCATTAATATTATATTAGGTTATAAATTAAGTTATTATTGACAATGCTGTCAATCTTTACTTTTGTCATTAATATTATTATAGGTAATAAATTAAGTTATTATAAATAATGTTTTCCTTGATGATTATACCGAAATGATAACTATTTATGGGGAGCGTGGGCGCAAAAAAAGCTAAATAAAGTACAACTGGTTTGATTTTTTACTTTAAAACATTGGCGTTCTGAAGTATCAGTCATAGATTAATAACCTCATTTTTTGAAAGCTTTTGACAACTTAGTAAATACAGTTGGCCAAAAGATTTTTAAATGTTTTTAATACAACAATGTTCTATCGTCTCCTAGCAATTTTTAAAGCTCCTACGTTTAACCTAGGCGAGATCTCTCGGTATTGGCTGCCGCTTTTTTGCTCTCATTCGATTACACTATTACCTAGAAATTTTTTATTTTTAGATTTGGCATCTCCATTGCTATCGGCACGCCCCCTTTTTCTCTGTGGCGCGAGTTCTGGGACACCCTGTATACAAATACTTTATCTGTGAGAAATAAAATTGTATTAAAAACAACCAAACCCTTATTTTTTATAAATATACCATTTTAATATTAAAATTAAAAATTAACAAACTGATATTTTTTAAAAACAAATTGTTGTTATTAAGTGACAAACATCTTATTTATTATAAATAAACTGAATTAATTATAAATAACCCGGTAATTAATTATTAATATATATCAGTTATTTTTTATAAATTAGTTCATTTATAATTAACAAATTTTATTATTAATAATTAATAATTAGCATATAACAATTTTTAATAAATATGTATATTAGACTGGTTCAAAAAAATCGAATATTTTTTTTTCTTTAAAGCCCGCATTGAAATATCTTCCTAGTAGTGAAAAAAGAAGCCTGTGAAAATTGTAGCTCTTAATATTAATATTTAGAGGTCGCTCATCGTGAATTTCTATTTTACGTTTAAATAACACAGGAATTCTTGTTTCTTAATTTTGAAATTTTATAACTCGTTTTTGAGTGAACATATTGGAATAAGCGACACATATTTTTAAAGAAAATTGAACGCTCTACAAAAAATGTCTCTTATAATTTTTTCATAAATTCACTTCTTTTATAGTTATTCAAGGTTGAAATTATACATATAATAAATTTAACGTTTTTTTTTTCAATTGGTGGCATAATAATAAACCTTATCACTCATTATTGTACAGGATGGTCCAGTTTGTAAAACATTAATTTTAATAGGTGATAAAACATCAAAAATAAGGTAGACTTTCATAAAAAACATTTCTTAAAAAAAATAGTTTTCTCTTCATAACTTTTAAACCACAAAATTAATTTGGCACACAATGTAATATAGTCAGTGCCTTAATAATGATGTAGATAATCAGTGCCGCAGTTACTTGGGGGGCTGCTCCCCTTTTCACCTCAGTCTTTGACGCCACTGGAAATTTTAAAATAATAAATAAATGTTTAGGTCAAGTTTTTGATTAAAGGAAAAAATTTGCTCTTGTCCTATTTTGATTTGGGGCTTGGTTTCTAAAATATTTGCTCAAAAATGTTTCCTCGCAAAATTACATTTTTAGATTGTTTTTTCAATTTAGAGAAAAAAAACTACTGTGCTAAAATTTTAATTTAGGCCTTCGTTATTTAAAAAATGAAGAACTAAATCAAAATTTTACATGAGTAGTTTTTTTCTCTAAATTAAACAGATAATCTAAAAATGTGTTTATTATTAAAAAAAAATCCAGTGGCGCCTAAGGTGAAAAGAGGAGCAGCCCCCCAAGTAACTGCCCAACTGATGTTTTTTTAAATAATTATCCACATCATTACTAAGACATTGACTATATTGTGTACAAAATTTGATAAAAATTGATTAAGTGGTTTAGAAGTTATGATGGGGAAACGAGTTTTTTTTATAAACTTTGACGGAAAGCGTCTCTGCGAGGAAACATTTTTGAGCAAATATTTCAGAAACAAAGACCCAAATCAAAATTTTACAGGAGTAAATTATTTCTCTAAATTAAAAACTTGACCTACAAAATTTATTTAATATTTTAAAATTTTTAGTGGCGTCAAAGACTGAGGTGAAAAGGGGAGAAGTCCCCCCACATTATTATTAAGGCACTGACTATATTACATTTTGTGCCAAATCTGATGAAAATTAATGTTGTGGTTTAAAAGTTATAAAGAGAAAACTAGTTTTTTTGGAATCTTTGACGACCTGTATTTTCCTTAGGAAACATTTTTGAGAAATGTTAATTAATGAAAGTCTACCTTAAAATTAATGTATCACAAACTGGACCGCCCTGTAGGTATAATCTTTTTTAAAAATTTTATATAAATTATGTTTCTTTAAAAAAAATTATCACTTGTTCCAATACGTCCACTCAAAAAAAAAGTTATAAAATTAAAAGTTAAAAAAAATTCCTGTTATTTAAACGTTACATTTATTATATGTCTAATTTCAACCTTGAATAACTATTAAAGGAGTGAATTTACGAAAAAATTATAGGAGACATTTTTTGTAGAACGTTCAATTTTCTTCAAAAATATATAGTTCATTCCAATATGTTCACTCAAAAACGAGTTTATAAAATTTCAAAGTTAAGAAAAAAGAATTCCTGTGTTATTTAAACGTAAAATAGAAATTCACGATGAGCGACCTCTAAATATTAATATTCCCAATTAGCAAATATAGTTCCCAGTCCTTTTTAAATGTCACTGCCCCTAAAGTATAGTTCCTAGACCCACCCTGCCACTTAAAATGTTACTCTATAAGGAATAGTCACTTTAAAGTATATTTCGAGAGTGACTGGTTAGTGCCTACCTTCCATAAAAGTGGAAAATAAACACACCGATTGCAAGTGGCAAACATGTAATTAAAAGAAGTGGTTGGAACTACCTGAATCTTCGAATATGACACCATAAAAGACCAAAAACTTTATAGTAACTTTTTAAAGTAGCGGTCACTAACAAATGCTAACATAATGCCTCCATTAAGTTTTTGTTACTTTATAGTAACAATTTAAGTTACGAGGTAGTCGCGGCCACGACACCTGGTTACCTCTAATTTATAGTAGCATTGAAAGTAACAAAATGGTTCCTGCTACCTTCCTAGGTCACTATAAAGTAGCCGTCGCTTATCCTTTGCCACTAAAAAGTCGCGGGGATCAAAAATGGCTACTTAATAGTGACCATAACTTAATATACCCTAATAAATGTAATTGCTTCAGATTGCATATATGCATATATGTTACGCACTATAGTGTGCTGCTCTGTTTTGGTGTTTTCTTTTCTTGCTTTTAAGCTTTATTAAAATTCTGTAAAATGCCTAAGGTAAATAAAAAGAAATTTAGTTATTCTAGTACTTTCTATC